TCTCAGAATTTCTCTAATATATCATGCTCCTTCTTGGCACAGGACCTTTGGACGTACTGGAAAAGTCTCTCCACACTTTTTTTTTGCCAAGCTAACTCAGATCTTTTCTCTTTCATAATTCAACAGCTCCTCAGCAAAGTCTCTTCTATTCTCTATTCTAAGAATGCAACATAGAATAATAATCCCTTCCTTTAAAGAATTTATTTCAGTTTACAACTGCACAGTCATTAGTGTGATCATTTGATGAATATCATTCTGAAAGCATGACACTGATTTCTTTTCACATTTGCACCCCAAGGCTTAATATAATGTCTGGTACAAAATAGATGTTGAATGTATAGATTTTGAGGTGATGCCTGGACTGCTACTTGATATGAATCTATTTAGTAAGGGCCTATGTTGGATGAGGCAAGACACTGGGCCAACTCATTCTTAGTCATAAGAAAAAGAGATCCTCAGCATATAATAGTTTCCATGAATAAATAGCATTTTAAGAGCATTTCCCATTTATTGAAAAGTAAAATTTCCTCTTGTCCAAGAAATTTACTAATCCAGAAATGGGCTATCGTGGACTTGATGCATTAAGATCAAAGTTCATCCATTTGATCCAGGACCTGCTACACCAGACAGGCCATGGATGAAAAGGGAGATTCATGACTAGAAGCATGAGATTTAGGAATAGGTTGCTGTGATCCAATTCTAGACACAAGGTGCTGCACCTTAGAAATCTTGCAAATATCAGGGCATAAGAAGCAAATCTTGTAAAGATTACCCAAATGTAGAGCCAAAGGAAGAATTTAGAATTGGAAAGATGAGCCAGATAATGAATTCAACAGGATGGACTCCTCCAATCTAACATTTGTCTTTTCTAATTTTCTTGTCCTTTCAGTAATAATCATGATTGTATTAATTTTTTATAGATCATTTACTTAGTAAGGTACTATCCAAACATGTGTACACATGGATTTCAAAGCCTGAGTTCTCACCCATGATACCTACTCCAAGTGCCATGCCGGGAAGTCACGACTTTTTTTCTCACTATATCTCCAAATGACTTGTTTTGCTATTGACTTAATCCTTTTTATTTACTTATTTTGTAATTTAAATTGATTTTAGGGTTACAGTGTCCACACACTGATAACATTAATATGGTAGTTGTGCTTTCTAATACTCATTATTGGAAAAATGTAATTATGAAAACGAAAATGTTCATGCATTGTTTAGAAGCTTCTTGGCTCTTACCCGAGGGGTGCTCCCACCGTACTTGAGATGACCCTCTTTATTTGACCCCAAGCCATGTCTCTTCTATGTCTTTGGTGTTTGGGAAGCATAACAGAAATAGGTGCTAGCCATCTTATAATTTAAGACATGCCTTATGGTTATTTTTCTGAGGCTGTTTTGAACAGTGGCTGCCTTCTATCCCAGAGTGGCTACACTCCAGGGATGAGAAGTAAAAGGGCCTCACTTTCTACAGTCTTAATGCTTAGGGCGATCTGGCTGAGACAAACTATATAGATATCACTTATCATCACCTCATGATGACAATGATTATTTTACATATGGCTGCTTTAGGGGTGAATGGTGTGGTCTCATTTGTATGCCAACATCTGGCAGGCTGTCACACATCTGCAGAAGATAGCCTAAATTGCACTATTAATATATCCGCTTTGTATTCTCCCCAAGGCATCTGTCTTCCAAAATGCCTAAAGAAACCTTCCTCCCCCTTGACGGCCTAGAGGCAAAATTCAGAAAACATGCCACCTAGGCTGGGAAAGCAGAAGCTTGGAGTGACAGCAGCTGAGCCAGAGCAGATTTCAGCTCTTGGAATAGACACAAAGAGGGAAAGGAAACCACCACCCACACTCATTCTATTAGCAGCTGCACTGCCTGGCAAAATTTTGGGCAGGTTTCCCCAGGCCCAGACAGTATGCTGTGTCTGTTCTGTACTCAACAAAAGATTCCAGTTATGGTCCTGATGGTCAGTTCTCAGTGTCTCCAAATATATCTCAGAACTTCTAGTATCTGATTAAAAATACCTCTCCTCAAAGGCCCTCGGGGACAGCTGTGCATTGTCTGTGGCAGAAACTAGGTGGCTGGGACTAAAATCAGGAGTTTTTTGGTGGTGGTGGTGGTGGGACACAGAGTATTTTTCCCAGCTTGCCTTGCAGTTAGAAGTGGCCATGTGGCTGAGTTCTAGCCAATAGGATGCAACCTATTTTAGGGCCTAGTTCCCAGAATTCTATGACCTCTTCTTTTTGCTGTTCTGCTATGGACAAGCTTGGTGACACTGGGGAGCCACAAGATAGAAGAGGCCTAGGCTCTTCTAAGTTATTGATGACTGTTGATGGAGATCATTAATATTGGATTTTACAGGAGAAATATTTTTTAAGAGTTTGGAATCTACTTTATATCAAAATATTCAGAGCTTTATTATAACTCATGAAGTTCAATTTCCAGGTTGGATTTCACAACTGTCTATGAGATATGCTCACTCTGATGATATCTGAAGTACCACTGACTCAAACCAAATACAGTGTGATGGTGCATGTCTACAATCCCAGTACTCGGGAGCATGAGGCAAGAGGGTTGCTGGGAGATTGAGGTCAGCCTGAGCTACAAAACGAGTTCAAGAACAGCCTGAACTGCAGAGTAAAACCCTACCTCAAAAAGACAAAAACAAAATAAAAACAAACAAAAACCCTCAACAACAAAAATCAAAATAAAAAACCCAATGTACACAACCCAATTTCTCCATGCCAAGTATTCCACATGATGGAATACAGGAGCACATCTGTTTTCATAGTATTTGCATTCTCCAATGGGGAAATTAAACATATGCAAATAAAAATGATTTCAAATAGTGGTAAATGCTATGAAGATAACAGAGAGTCAGTTGGAGAAGGTGTCCTGTAGAGATGCCTTAGATGCAGGCCTGAATAATGACATATAGTTTGGGCAGTTTTCCCCAGGCCCAGACAGTATGCTGTGTCTGTTCCATACTCAACAAAAGATTCCAGTTATGGTCCTGATGGTCAGTTATCAGTGTCTTCTAATATCTGATTAAACTAGAAGATCTCAGAACTTCTAGTATCTGATTAAAAATCCCTCCCCTCAAAGGCCCTCGGGGACATGAAAATTTAATGCATGATAAATTTAATGCATGATACATAAATGCCATTGCATAAAATTACTGTCTAGAACCCCAATCTAGAAAGTCCTGAGCCACTATTTATAATTCAGTGTTTTCTTAACTTTATTAGGATGAAGGCAGCTTGTAGATGCCAATGCATTTTAAAAGGGACAAATTCCCTGTAAGTACTATGTGTTGTAGTTGTGAGCATGTTTTTCTATTTCATTTTCCCCCAGGGCCTGTTCATACCTAAATACTCTTGATTTAGGCCAACCAATTATTAGCTGCAGGGAAAGGATACTAAAACTTTGATTGGTTATTTCAAAGTTCCATAGGTTAATCCTCAGGTCCCAGCCTTGGGAACTCTGGGGCACAGAATCCCAGGAAGAGGGAGAAGCAGACACAAAGGATGGAAGGGCACAGTTTAGGCAGGAACAGAAAAGTAATTACAGTAGTTGACTAAAGCAGAGTGAATTAGAGAAGACTGATGTGACAGGAAACCAAAGAGGGAGCTGGGGCCCAGATGGTGTGCAGTCACACAGGCCAGGATAAATGGCTCGGGTTTGAAGTTCAGTGGGAGGCTCCTCTAGCATCTTTAGCAAGAGGGAATGATATTGGATTACACGGTGGGAGGTTTACTCTCATATGTGGGACATGTATTGTACAGGAGAGCAAGAAAAAAGAGCACACAGGTGAGAGGTAATAGCAATTCCCAGTAGCATGGGTTGGTAGGAGTGGGGATGGAGAGATCTGAGTTGATTTGAGATATGTCTTACAGCAAGCCTTGACAGGGCTCCAAGACAGATTGGGCTGGGAGTGGAGGAAGCTAGTGAGTGAAAAAGAAGAGAATGCTGACTTGCAGGCTAATTGCTCAGCTGCCTGAGTGGGAAAGCTGGGAGGCAGAAGGTGAGTGTGAGTGGAGAAGCATCCTTCTGAAGGGACCAAGCACACGATAGGTACTCAGTGAAACAATGTGATGAGAACACTGCCATGGACAGGAATTCTCTTGACTTCTCTAAGTCTTAGTCAAATAGGAGATAATAGTACTTATATTACATGTTGTTATGTCAAATATACTCGTAAGGGGTAGAAATAACAATGAAAACAAAGGAGATATAATAAAGGCTTGAGGATAAAGATTTTTTGGAAATGGTGCTGATTATAGGAATGTTTTGGCTGTGAAATACATCAAGCTGTACAATTATGATAAATACACTTTCCTATATGTTTCAATACAGTGGTAAAGGGGCTGGGGAGAAGGCTCAGTAGAATAGGTGCTTGCCTGGCAAGCGCAAGGGCCTGAGTTCGATCCCTGGTTCTGCAAAAAACAAACAAACAAACAAACAAACAAACAAACAAAAAGTCAATAGAGTGGTAAAAATGAGATACTATGCTTGAAGTTGTTAGCACAAGTTCTTGAAACTCAATATGTGACAGTCCCTATTATTCTCACTATTGTAACACAACATATACCACCTCATGTACCTGCGGTCCATGTTGTACACTGACTATTTATGAATCCTCGAGCAGAGGCCCGAAACCTAACTGGACTCTAGGATCTTACCTTTTTGTTGGTAAAGTCACATGAAAATTTGATGCATGATACATAAATGCCATTGCATGAAATTACTGTCTAGAACCCCAATCTAGAAAGTCCTGGGCTGCTATTTATAATTCAACGTTTTCTTAACTTTATTACGATGAAGGTACCTTGTAGATGTCAATGCATTTTAAAAGGGACAATTTCCCTATAAGTACCAGGTGTTGTAGTTGTCAGCAGGTTTTTCTATTTCATCTCCCCCCAGGGCCTGTTCATACCTACACACTCTTGAGTTAGGCCAACTGATTATTGGCTGCAGGGAAAGGATACTAAAACTTTGATTGGTTATTTCAAAGTTCCATAGGTTAATCCTCAGGTCATCAGCAGACATGTAGGTTTCGTAGTCGCTGTTGACTGATATGGAGTTGATGTGATACGTGTGTGCGTTGGCAAATACTCTTCGGGGGGTGGCCTCCACCATCAGGTCCATGGGTCTCAGGACGGGCACCTGGGAGGGAGGAGAAACATATCACTCAACACCAAAGCTCTTTCCTAGAGAGACAGTGTGTACGAGTACATCCTCTATTACCACAAGCAAAATCACTGCCATAGGAAAGAAGCTCAGAGTCAGAGAAATCACATGCTTTCCCTGTTTCTTGGGGGCTCCTTTTGCTTTACTAAAAGTACCACCATCACCCAGCCCTGATTGGAAATTTCATTTTTGAGAAATTCAAGACTTTTTTTTAACACTCATCTTGGGGGAATTTGGATTCCATTGTACGAGCACTAACTTTCAAGGGTATCGTCTCACTGGAAAAACGAAAACAAAAACCATAAAATCTCTTTTAGAAAGAAAGTTTTGGGAAAATTGTAATGATATCTCATTCAATTTTCATCCCAATTTAGACCTCTTATCTTTCCATCTCACTGTTTTAGAAGGCTACTCCTATTCAAAGGAGCAGCACAGTTCCCTTTGCTTGTCCTCAGTCTTTAAGAGTATTTAGGAAAAACATCATCACCCACAACTCTAGTGATCAGCCATCATAGATAGGGTGCATGGTACCTCGTGGGTAGGCTGAGATAATCAGTTTGCACTTGCTGTCTTGAACTTCCAACTAGGTAGTCTCCACTGTCCCAGTTTAGACAATAAATTTTACAGTCACCGAAGGTATATGTTTGTTGAATGACTGAATAAGAGTAAATGCTAGTATTTTGTTCTAACAAGTCAGAGAATCAGGCAGCAAAATAGCTTCCCATATGAACAAAGGCATAAAATCCTTCTCCTTCTCTTTGAATTCTGGGTAAATTGGCTCCTAAGAACGTGAACGAAGAAAACAAACAAACAAAACCATACACACAGGTGCAGTCCTTGAATAGAAACAAGAAAATAAGGAAAAACTATTTTTTCTCTAAGCAAATCATCACTTGCAACTGAGCCCTGGCTGGTTTGATACCAGGTGGTAGATTAAGACTTCAGCTTTTGGATTGGCTTCAACTCAGGTGGTGAAGGGAAGCAGCTGAAAACAAAGATTGAATTTTGTGAAGTGCAGTTGCCCCAACAATACAACCTTGTTGAAAACAGAGTTCCTCCTGCTCATTCTTGAAGGAGTTCAACTCATATTTGAGTTTCTAAATTAAATGGTTCAGAGGCAACAGAGTTCTAGACAGATGTGATGCCGGGTCTCCTAGAAACCAGAGATGCATTATGTGTACACACAGAAAAATCCAGGGGTTCACCAAACACTGGCAGAGGGAAAGGAGGGAAATGGAGGGAAGGGGTCCATCGTCATGGCCCCAGCTATGGGTAATGATTCTGAAGCACACACCGGGATGGAAAAGCCTGGAAACCTTGACTCTGAGCACGAATTTATCACCAGCCACCAGGCTGCAAGACCGGGGCAACCAACCTACTCTTGTTGAGCTCTATTTATGTTACTCAAAACATAGCTTCTCTTCACTGTGGCCCACGATTGTGAAGAGCTGCTGTGGGGATTTGTTGGGATGGTCTGTTCTTATGTTTCCTGTCCACCCGCCTCTTGCAGGAACATTTGCTGAGCACTACACAAAGTCTCCGGGAACTCAGTGGATAACTATGTGATACACACACATCCTGCACTCACAGGGTCGGTCTACTCAGGGGAAACAGACGCAAAGTCACTCATCTCATAATAAAATAGGGGTAAATGACCCAAAGAGACACTACAGTTTTAGGGAAGATTTACATAATTGGGCAGGAAAGTCAACAAGGTATTTTCTCCACTCTGCCGTACCTCCCCACCCTCCCGCCAAGTAGAAATTTCTGCCGACTTCCGGGAACCCCCAGACCCAGTCCTAGCCCAGGTCCGGTGAGTGTGTGGAGAGCTTCTTGCTACCTGTGCCGGCCGGACCAGTCCCAGCCCAGGCGCAGTGTGGGCCGGACCCTCTCCCAGCCCCTCGGGCCGCCCCCCACCACTCTGTAGTGCCTCCCCCACCCCGCCCGCC